TAACCCCTGCCCCCCCCCCCTCCCCCCCCCCCCATTCAAGTCATCGAACATTGTTACGTTCTGAACTTCGCTTCCGATTTATTCTAAACTCATCAACAACATCATGTTTATTCTAAACTCATCAACAACATCATCAAAAAAGAGGAAATTTCTGAAAGGCAAAGCCCACTTGCCATTTTCTCTGTTCTTTTGGCCGTAAACAAGACGAAGTATTTATTTTCCACAGACTGTCATGCACTAATTATGTTCCTGAATATATGTTAAAGATCATACTTCATGTTTTTCCTTCTTTCTTGTGATTGAGATAAACTACTCCCCTGAAAGCAAGGTATAAAATGCAAAATGGTATTCTACTTCACATGTTATGAAGTTGGATCAAGAAGGCAAATAAATACGAAGACAACGAAAGAATTGTTAAATATGATGTACAAAAGGCATGGAGAGTTGTCCACAAATGATGTCATCAAATTAAATATCGCCCTCTAGTGACTAGTCATTTATTAAGCTTTAACTTCCTTATTCCTTGCACGATTAAAAAAAAAAAATCACTGATTTTATTCAAATATCTTACTCTTTACAATAAAAGTAACTTAGTATGAAGGTTTTGGTTCCCTTTAAGTTTAAATGCCTCAATCGATACATCTCTGTAGGAAGTCCGAGTACTACACACAATGTACAATCTTTCATACATTTTGTTACGATTGTGAAACGTAAGTGAGATTATTTTCCAGAAAGCTTACTTGCTTCTTAATCTTCTAATTTACTCTTTCACCTTAAAGACAAAGACAATTATGAAGGTAAAGATACCGTTAAGGAATAGTATAATATGAAGGTAAACATACCGTAAAGGAATAGTTAGTCTTCGTGAGCAACTGCTGATGTACATGTATGAAAACATTGCGGATTCCGGGACTTCTTTCCCTAGTCTTACCCAAGTCTTGAACTAAACAAAAAGGCATTATATGACATCCAAACTCCTTAAACATGACAGAATTCACCAAAGGACACAAAGTCAGACTTTAAACACTATTAACGATCTTTGCTATTACTAAAGGAACAAAATACATAATATGCATACATATGTGACGAATTCAACACTTAAGAGTCTAAGGAGGGATAAACTATACAGTCATAGACAGATCAAGGTTCATTTGTCCTATAAAGTCTTGTTAAACGTATCTCTCTGTTCTCTTCATTAGAAGAATCAGTTTAATAACGGGTCTCTTTGCAAGTAGTCTTTTCCCCGTATTGGAGCTCGACGATATACGCACTAGCTCATCTTTCCCCTGGGAAGACCTGGCTGATTTCGGCCATTCGCAAAGTTCCACGTTTCTAGTCTTCACCGATGACCAATACGATATCCCCCACTTCTAGGTTCTCGGCCATGTGCTGGTTCTTTGGTCGAGGAGATAGTTTGTGAATACAGTCCATCCATCTCATCGACTCGTCGACAATTACATTACAGAGCTCTTTACGCTTTTTTAAGTCACAATGGTACTGCTCGCAAGGAACGACAGGACTTTGAAGATCTCCCCTTCCGATCAAGAAATGGTTTGGAGTGAGAGGAGGATGGTACAACGGCGAGGATAACACAGCAGTAAGACCCAAAATCTTGCGCAGAACAGTCTCCCATTCAGGAAAGGACAATCGATCCACCTTTACTAAGTGCCTCATGGCCTTCTTGACCTCTTGACCCATTCGCTCGACCGCACCCTGATGGTGAGGTACACCAGATGGTCCAAACTTCCATGTAACCCTGGAACGGTTACAGTGTTCCCTGAGCTCAGTTTGGTCCAGTCGTAGATTGAGCTCATCGATCCTGCTGTGCACACCACGGAAACAGGTCCCGTTGTCACTAACGATTGTAGCAGAGGCACCTCTAATGCTGACGAAACGGTCTAGGGCTTGAAGAAAGGCTTGTGTGGACAAGTCTTGCACACAGGTAAGATGCACAGCTCTGATGACAGCACACGTGAACACTACAGAGTAACCCTGACTTGTGGTATTGCGGTTGACCTTTTTATTGAATGGTCCAAGGTGATCAACCAGAGTCGTCTGGAATAGCGGTGAGTGGGGGTCACCCGGGACGCTGGAAGATCAACCATCTTCTGTTCCAGAGGTCTCCCTTGCTCCTGCGACAAATGGTGCATATATGCACAACGTCTCTGAAGAGCTTTGTATCATCGACGACCCAGTACCTCTTCCTCACCTCAGAAGTAGTTCTGGACTGCCCCCATGTATAGCAAGGACATATGCTTCTCTAACGATCAACAAGCTGTAAATATCTGCCATATGACACAAAACTCATTGTAGTTTAAGGTTTACATAAAATAGTATATTGACCAAAATAATACTATTATTCATCAAAAGGGCCGCTTTTAGGACGCCCCTTCCAGTTTTCGAGTGTTAGCCACACATCAAGAACAACATTCCTCTGAAATATATAAATATGCATAGAACTTAAGTCAAGTTATTATAGTTGTCTTCTCTATTGGTTGTTTAGGGTTGAGTTTGGGAAGGACGCGCTACAATACCAATATAATGCTCCCATATAGCACGTATTATTCTACAAAGGAAAGCTATGCGTGTTATCTGTAACACGTCCTGGAGATCCCATACCGATGTTTTATTCATCAAAAATAATTTCTTTAAAATAAAGCATATATATCGTTAAAACCTCGGTATGTTTATGTACCAGTTAAATAATAATACGCTACCCCCAATCTTTAATTGAATATTCATCAAAAATAAAAATTTACACAAATACCCAACACGCCAGTCTAAAGAATTCCATTTGCCATTTACTAGAACTATACTCGCTAAATCCATATTCACTTACGCAGGCCCGGATCTTTGGACTATTTTTGATGATTGCATCAGGAATGCCCCTCGTTTAAATTCGTTTAAATTTAAATTTAAAAGTCAGCTTACCCACATTCAATTTATTTCACCTAATAATATACTCTATTATATTTCCATTCATGTTGTATTGCCATCCGTATTCCGGTCGGTCCGTGTTTTGTTGTGTGTGTTTATAGGTAAAGCCCTAACCTCTATTGTTCCTTATCTCCCTTCTTTTCCTGTCCACTTCACTCATGTTATGTTCTGTCTATTCGGTTTATGTATTCGTGCGTTCCCTTATTATTGATATCCTATTTTTGCACATATAAGTTATAGGGAGTTATAGGGATCTACAAGCCTATCGCTTGTAGCAGTCCCCTCCACGACTAACATGCTGTTTATGCCTGTTGTACACTTTGGACCAATTACAATTACAAATACATTGATAAGTTTTATTGTTTTACTATCATCCATAGTGATCTGTCAGTTCATGACAGGTTCAGTGACCCATTCAAAATTATATATCAAGTGTCTCTCCAAGTTTCTCTCCAAGTTCCTCGGTCTTGAGGCAACCGTTTCATCGTTTCATACCCTGTTGCTCCACATTGTGTGATAACATCGTCTAGAAAGCCTTTACGAGGTCTTCCCCTCTTCTTCTTTCCATGAATACGACCTTCTTTGACTCTGAGCATCAAGCCCTAATCATGCCACATTATGTGTCCAAGCCATTTCTTCTGTCTCTCTCTAATCGTTTGAATCAGCACCCGCTTTTCTTGAGCTCGATGCAACACCTCTTCATTCGAAACTCTGTCCATCCGAGACACACCTAGTAATTTGCGCCAGCACCACGTTTCGACCGCCTCCAATCGCTGCATGTCCTTTTTAGTGAGTGTCCACGTCTCTGCCCCATACAAAAGTACACTCCATACTAGATACTTCACAAGACGCTTTCTCAAACTAAGGTCGATATTGTGGCTCATCAGGATAGCTTGTCGTTGAATGAAGGCAGCTCTTGCCAGAGCTGAGCGCAAGTTGACATCTTTGGCAGACTTGCCATCCTCAGTCAGCACACTGCATAGATACTTGAAGTGGTTGACTTGCACTAGTCTGTTGCCATTTTTTATGATAGTTATTTCCTTTGTCTTGCTTTTAATTATCATCAACACCTTCGTGTTCATCTCGTTGATTCTCATGCCATAGCTCCTGACCACCTGGTCCATCTTTACTGTACCATCTGTCTTTGAAGACCATCGGCAGTATCAGCGAGCGTGGCCTGATCATCAGCATACCGTACAGACTTAATTGACACTCCTCCAACGGTCACTCCTTCTTCTAACGTTACCAGAGCTTCTCTCACCATTGCCTCTGCATAGATATTGAAGAGAAGAGGAGACAGAAGGCATCCCTGACGTGTTCCGCGTCCCATGACAGCTGGTTTAGAGACCCCATCTACAACGCGAACGCTAGCAGTCTGAGCCATGTATAAGGATGCAAGCAGTCTACGGTCTTTCCAATCAACACCAATGGCTGACAGCACTTCCATCAACCTAGTCCAATTGACACGATCAAATGCCTTTTCGTAGTCCACAAAACTGATATATAGGTCCTGATCATGCTGTATACATCTCTCACTTAGTATTCTCATTACAGCGATTGCTTCTCGAGTACCGACCCCTTTACGAAAGCCAAATTGGTCATTTCCATAATAATCTTTGAACCTCGCATCAATCCGATGGTAGAGTACCTTTAGCAATACTTTAGAAGCATGTGATACCAGGCTGATAGTGCGGTGATCCTCGCATCTGATTGCCTTTGTAGTCTTCTTAGTTATCAACTATGTACAATGCAATTCCATATATTTCATTTGATTTTGTTGGAAATGGAAATAAACGAAATGAAATGAAATGATTTCATATTCACCTTACTCAATATAAATATGTCAGTCATAATGTACTGACGTGCAATAATAGAGTTAAGATTAGATGATATGATTGATATTCAAGTCTATGATTGTGCTTTCCTGTTCATTCTTTCTCCGCCCCTCGTACATGTCTTTGTTTCTTGATCCGCTTCTCTGTGTCTTCTCCTAAAGTCTTTCTCTAAATGAATGTGTATTATTGTTAACGATGCAGGTTACTGGCTACCATTTGCTTCTCATCATGGCGTCTAAGTTCTCAGGAGAGAGAGATGAAAAGCTACGCACTAGAAAAGGTCATGACATGACATGGTCATGTGATAAACACGGGGAGCCAATCAAATTTTACTGCAAAGAACACACAATCCCAGTTTGTCACCCATGCGCTACGAAAGATCATAAGCCGTGTGAACTAGACGACATCGAGGATGTCATCTTGGAGAGGAGGAGGATATTGGATGACAAGCAGCAGGAGATAGAGGAAATGAAGAAACAACTGAAAGCGCTTTCCTCTAAACTAAATTACACTGTTACCTCTGCAAGTAACCATTTTCAATCAATCAACGATGAACTCAAGGTGGCATTCGAAGACAAATTGAAGAGTGTACAAGACAAGGAGAAACAATCGATTTGTTCGATCGACGAGGAGGTGGATAAAGAAATACAAATTATTAACGAAAAGAGGGAAAGACGGATCAAATCATGTCACGAAGAAGCAGAAAAGCAGCAACTACCCATCAAAGAAAGCCAAGCAAAATTCCTGTCAGAAACAAAGGCAATCAGCGAGGTGGTTGCTAACAAGATAAAAGATCTCACAAGTAAGAATCAGCGTGCAATCAGCAACATAGATAATGTTGAATCCAAGGTCAAACAAATAAAACAAGATGACAAAACAATAGTGAATAAAGCCCCTCAAGTACTTGCATTTCTAAATGACAATTTGAATTTGAGTGTTCATCAAGATGTTAGCAACTGCCTTGAACGAATAAGGAGCGAAGTGCAGAGAGTGAAGTTTGTCGAGGGTGATGTAGGTGGGGAACACTACGGGAAAATTGATGGCTACATCGGTAAATGGGAGCTTGTCAAGTCAATCCACATTCCATCGATTGTTAATAACCCATGGGTGCGTGGTTTGATCAGTGACGATGAAATATGTGTGCGGGACTTAGATAAAAAAGCAACGTATGTTACAAATATCAGAACTGAAAACACAAAGAAAGTCATTGAAGGAGATAGTAGCATGTATATTTCATCATGTGCCCCCATAGACAGCAACGTAGTAGTATGCGGTAAGTGGAGACGAAGCTGCAAGGGTGGCAGTTTGGATGGATTCATCACTCTTTATGACAGACAATGGAAGGTGGTTAGAGACATCAGCTTACCGAGGAATAACCTCTCTAATCAAGTACACGTTGATGTTGACAGGGATGGGATGACCCTCGCTGCTCAGAACAAGCAGCCTAATATCTACGTCATCAATCCTGCTGATGGTAAGATAGTAAACACTATTACGATGCAGGGCAAGATGGCGTGGGGTAAGATACAAGCACTGTCATCAGGTGAAATCGTTTTGAAGACAGATGATAATGAATTCACTGTCATCTCACGATTAGGAGAAGAGAAGGCCGTCATACACTCTGATGAGTGGTTCGTACCATGGTGTCGCGTTGACAAACTGACAGACACACTCTACATCGCATACTGGGATAGAGAGCGTACTATCTACGCAGTTGATCAGGTGACACGTGACGGTACCATCGAGGCACGGAGAATTGTTGAATACGAGCATTCAGACCTGATCAGCGAAAATTACTTTAAACCATGCCTAGTAGTTCCTAATGGTTATATTGTAACTTGTGACGGAGCCAAGCTTTCAGTGTACAAGAAGAGATTTATTGTATGAATCATCCGAAGAGATAGATGATATTTCTCACACTGCAGGATTAATTAGCCTCAACGGGATATAGGATTATTCAATTGTTCATATAACTCAGTTGAAGTGAAATTGAAGCATCTGTTTTTTCACGAAGGAAAACATATTAAATACTACACAATAATAATTTTACTTTATATTACTTTAAAATCCCGGTGACTTTTAAAAAGTTGTTAAACACCATACCCGTAATAAAATATTTTTTAACTTTCAATAATTATAAAGTATTGTATTTCTTTAACAATGTAAATTAGAATTACAGTAATTAATAAATGGGGTACAAAGCGTTTGAAGTAAACAATGTGAACATTTTTATATTTATGTTCATAATCTGAATTCACAATACTGATGTTTATAATTGATAACAGTTATTAATTCATTCCTTTTATTGCGATATTATTATAAATACATGCGACTTCATAATACATTGCTGTTGTACTGAAAACAGATAAACGAACCGGTGACTCAGTAAATCTTTAGCATCTATACCAAATCGCACTTTAGTATGGATTTCTTATGTTTTTGTTTCATACCCCTGTCAAACATAGTTCCATACTGCTTCACGTCTATCTCAAATCAGTCAAACTGAAAACATCACATGCCTTTCATGATTCTCATCAGTTCTGTAGACTTATTATTCCGTATCTCTCCTGCGGTGTTTACGTTTCTATTCTACATTAAAACCTCAATGAGTTTTATATTCTAGTATGTTTTGTTGTTGTATATGGTTCGAAAAACTGAATATTTTATTTTTCATTTGTACGTGTAATATTATATTTATATTAAATGCATGCGAAATCATGATACATTACTGTTATGTACTTAACAAAATTAATGTACCAGCGATTAAGTAAGCCTTATAATCTCTTGCATCTATATCAAATCGAAAAGTATGACTGTGTCATGTTATTACTTTTCATACCGCTGTCAAACATTTTTTCCAAACTGACATTTATCTCAAATCCGTCAAACTGAAAATATCATATACCCTTGATGAATCTAATCAGTTCTGTACCTCTTGTTTGGTTTTTACTTTTGCCTTCTACATTAATCTATCAATAAACTGTACATTACAGTAAAACTTTCTTTGTTTATATTATTACCCGCAATATTGGCACTGTCCCTATTAAAGTGTATTTCAACGAAATCGTATTATCATTAATATGAGGACTATTTGTTTAAAACATTTATTTGTTTTTCTTTCTTCATTTCTTCGTATGGTATGCCATTTAAAGTTATATTCAATTATATTTATCTATGTGAATTATTCTTGTTAATGTATAACTTTAATATGTTGCTTGTTATTTTCTTATCATTGTAAATTACGCACGATCCAACATTACATGTATGCTAAAATACTAGTACATGATTTTGTTGAAATACATAACATTTTAAGGTAAATGTAATTATATTTCGTGGGATGTAAATCTGTTACATACTTTACAGTAAGCCTATATTTATGTATCTTCGCTTTGTTTTTGGTTAAATTCCTAGTCATATAAGTAGTGTAACATATGAGGTTAGACGGGCTTTAGAATGAAGAAAAAAAACACCGGGTTTGTAAATGCAGTTTGTAAAACTTTGCTAAACATTCTAGCTGAAAAGGAGGACACTTGTTATGGCAATAGGCTTTTAAGAATATTTTAACAGTAATGCTTTGTAATTTAAAGGAATTGTTTCATTTTATTTATATCTTTATTTAGTCCAAAATATCACTTGTCAACAGTGCAAAGAGTAGTTCTTAAGCGTTGATGAAACACTCCTTACTATGAAGAGTGGATTGTAAGTCATGTTTATTTTGTTCATTTTCATTCTGGTATCTATTATTACTTTATTACCAGTGACATTTTCAAAGAAAACATTATAACATGTGTTTTCATTCCATCCGCCCAATAAATTAAAACATAAACTTAATAAAGAATACCTAATCAATATGTGTAATTCTTTTAGAGTGGCGTTTACACTTAATGTATTCAAACAAATTTCAAAAAACCAAACGAGCATACTGCGTAGTTGGAATAGGGCTAAGTAATATAAGCGAGAGAAATAGGATAATGTAGACAAAAAGAGAGAGAATAAGGAAAGACACCAGTAAGAAACAATAACAAATACACCTTTGATTGTACCTAGGATACGTTAGCGTTATCCCTGTAATAGAGTTATATAAGATCATGCATCAATGATACATCGAAGAGTATCATGATTATTTAAAATCATAATTTTGACCCCCAGAGGGAGGTAGACCTGTCGTCCTACTGCTAAGTGTTTGACCGTCACAAGGGATTCACACCTGGCTGCATCGCTATAACCATGTTGATTGTTATGAAACTGATAGTGATTATAATAATGATGATGGTGGTGACGATGATGACGATCATGTTCGTGTATAATCACCATGGCTATTGTTAATACCATGCTGATGAGGCACAGGATCCTTGTTAGAATATGCATAAATATTTATTATCCATGTATGAGAATCATAGAGGACATCGGTGATAATAAGTTTGGATAACGATACCTCAAAATGTTCAAATCAGTGCAAGTATTAATGCAAAAGTTGTATGTAAAAGGAGTAAATCAAAGGAGTAAAACAGAAAGAGAACGCTATCCATGATTTGCAAATTAATAAATACGATGTAAATTATAAATTATTATCACGATTTCCCACTGAAAATGTTGATTAATCTTACAAAACCATGTCCGTACCTTCTGAACCCCTTTTTCTTGTTACGGTAATGCATATGACAAGTATGTTAGCAAACTCCTTTTATAGTAACAACACATCTTTTCCGAATGCTGAATACTAAATGGTCATTATTGCAGTCGATCTATACAGGAAAGACAGCATACAAGGGCACAGTGCGTATAGGTCCCTAAAATGGGAATTCCCTCTGGCCTCAACCCTTACCAACCACAATGTAATGGTTAACAAAGTCTCACCAAGAGATGACGCTCTGCTATGTTATCAAATAGATAGGTTGACTAATGTATGCATAGTAACAGTGAATTGGAGATGGCGCGCTTCACTCTTAAACGCTCGGACATAGTACTTAGTAGCTCACTTGCGGACGATATCCCAATAATTGTAACGCAATTGCAGGGCTAAGTTGTTTAGGTATAAATTGAAATTGATAATCAGTCTATATGCTCGTTAATGGGGCAAATATGGATTGTGATATCCGCCCCTTTATCACCCAACCGAAGTTAAATTTTACTTACTGATATTATACAAGTAAAGTAAATTTATAGCATATCTACTCATGCAGGATACCCACGACGTAAAACCGAAACAATTTGAACAACAGGCTGTCTATGCAACAGTGCATGCTGCATGGAAATGAAAAGTACCATCAAAGGTCATTAAAGGTAATACAAAGTTTTGGTATGGGGTCATGAATTTGGTTCAAATGAACATAATGGAAGCAAATGCGATTCTACAATATTAAGTGATCGTTGTCGCGGTTGAAAACGAGTCTAAAGTTTTGAAATTGTAAATAATAAACTCTTTATGTTGTATAACTCCCTCTCAAGGTCAAGATATTAATTAAGCTATCAAACAATGTTTCTTGACTATAATCGACCGATTAGCTCTTCCCGTTTGGAAATTATATATCACAACTACATATTCTGAGATTTTCATGGTCGCAGCTAACATTGTACGGCCGTATACGCGCAATTTGCAATTCATCAAAATTTACCGGGAGCACCGGTAATTTTTATATTCAATATTTCTCAAAAGCAGAATTGTTTTAGGGGCTAATTTTTCTAGTGCTTATAATACATCCACAGGGGCAACCAAATATATCAAAATGGTAAAGAATCACTATCCACCCAATTTCAAAATTTCCCAAAACTTTGTATTACCTTTAACCATGTTTGGTAAGACTACTAAATAATACATGACATTGTACTCGTGTACGTTTGGAGCTATGCCTTTGGCTTAATTACTTGAAATATGTGAAATAGCTGAACGGTATAACTGAAATAGTATTATAATTGAAGAGATTGTGTAATATCATAATGGATATAACCCAACAACCGCTTGTTTATTGTTTTTTCCCAATCTAACTTTCATTCTCCTTTCCCTCCCTTTTTCTCTTCCTCTCCCTACTTCTTTTCTCTCCAGCTCTCTCTTTCTCTCTCTCTCTCTCTCTCGTTCTTTATCATTCCTCCTCTCTCTCTCTCTCTCTCCATTGTTTCTCATTCTCTTTCCCCATCTCTATATTTTTCTCTCTCCTCCATTCTTTCATTATAATACTCTCTCAATAGACATACACACACACACACACACACACACACATACAAATACAATACCAACACTTTTTCTCCCCCCCCCCCCTCCCCAACTGAGCTAGATCCATAACAAAACATGAAAATTGATGCCAAGAATCCCTGGTAAATATAAAGGTTCGGTGATTTTAGCTGCGCACCATCGTCCGTAGTCCGAACCGATTCTGATTACCCCCCCCCCCCCCCCTTCCCGGGCTCAATCGGACGGTAAAGAAAGGTATTGTTTCTCTCATATGTCACTCACAAATTTCATGTTCAAAATTAATGAACTATAATTCTAAATGAGAGAGAGGGGGGGGGAGGGGAATTGTTATTACATGTTGAGTTATAATCGAGTAGGGTTATAGAAGAGAAGTGAATCTAGATTAAACGACAGTGATGGGGGGCGAAAGAAAAGGCATTTATTATTATTATTATCATTTTTATGAATTGAGATTAAAAAATCAAAAGAAAGCATATATAAATATTTTAAAAGCAGGTGCATCCGTTCGAGCTGCCCGGGTATGGAAAAAGTTAACCAAATAACTGTGATCCGCAGACCTTCCTCCCCACACCCACTACAGATCCACCTGATATTGGTTAAAATAAAGCTTTAACGGTACTATGTCCCATTTGCAGGCCAACCAAATGAAAAAGTTAAATTCCAACTGCATTTGAAAGATAATACCGATTTAGAACTT